GAATTTAAAATGCACGAAATATCGTAGAAATTTTATTTCTGAATTAAGGGGACTCCCCCCCCCCTTTCCCGGGTTTCTCGGGAACGGCAAGGCAAAAATTCTTGAAACTTTCAGGGTGGATAGGTCTCGAGTAGTAGAACAAAAGTTGTAGCGGACGAAAATTTGTCAGACCCCCCCTTCGTGGACTTTTGGAGACCCCAAGGTCCGAAAATCGTCTAAAGTTTTCCCCCCGGCAAATCCACAGATTTCATCCGTTTGACCTGAAATTTTTTTTGGTAATACTTCAACTAATTTGTGGGGTGTATAATTTTTTTTTTTGAAAAATTCCTAAAACTCACGAAATGGTAAGCAAAATCCTGAAGACCTCGAAAAATCTCTAGCATTTTGAGATACTACAAATTTTGCAAAACCTGCCAAATTTTTTTGGTAAGAGGTATCAACAAAAAAAAAATTATACACCCCACAAATTAGTTGAAGTATTACCAAAAAAATTTTCAGCCCGATCGGACTTGAAATCGCTGAGAAAAAGGGGGGATACTGGTTTTTGGTACTCCAAAAACTAGTTTCGAGAAAAATGAAAAATACAAAATAGTTTTCAAAAATTTTACTATTTTTCGCTTATTTTACTAATACACTACTTTTTTTGCTAATTTTGTGGTACAAAGGGTAATTTAGCATGAGGAATCCAAATCTGAAGTCGGTTTTAATTAATTAATTAATTAATTATTAATTAGACACTAATTAATCGTTAATTCGTGTATTTTTTTTTAAGATTGGAAAAGGGGTATTCGAAGGTGGAGAATCCGAATCTCATGTCAGATTTAATTAATTAATTAATTAATTATGCTTAATTAAGGTTTTTTCACAAAATTGAAAATTCTCAAATTCGAACGGAGAACCTGAATCTGCTGTTAGATTTAGCTAATTATTAATTATTAATTATTAATTATAAAATGGAATCAAATATTCTGATGAAACACATTCACTCGTAATAATGAATAAAACATCTTTCTGAAATATATTTAATTATTTAATTAATCTTTTACTAATTATTAAGAACTTATTTTCTGTTTATTTCAAGCAGTCAAGTATCAGCAAACTGAATGTGTAAAGACATCAAAAGTTTTGTGCTCTGTGCTTTTATCATGTATACCTTTTAAATTTTTAGTCATATTACCCTTCACTCTCAAGCTTTTCTTTAGTAAGTTCCATCAGATATCCTTTACTTCTATATAAATTTTCTCTCCCTATAAGAAGAAACAAAATCAACTAGCTTTCATTCATGGCATCCAGTAGCAAACAACAAAAAACAATTCGTTCAAGGTATGTTTATTTATTTATTTAAAAAAAGTTTTAACACAATTAGTCGAATCCTCCTCGTGCATAGTTATATTTTTCTTTTTTATTGAGACTTTGTTCAGTTAGTATTCGTTGTTGTCGTACTTTTTGTTTCGTGGATTTGTTTTTGACTTTATTTTCTTTTATCCGTTGATTATCAAGTAACTTAGTCATACTAACACATGCAGGAGTTTTACTTTTAATACCACATTTTTCAAGCAGTTCCATAATTGATAATTGATAACCATCGTTGTAAATTAGAGCTGCTAAAGATGCTGCATCTTGAACATATTTGGCGGAGTGAAATTGTGTTTTAGGACACAAGGACCAAATACAACTGTGATAAGATTCATTTGGATTGGTTGTTCCTCCATCAACCACTTTAGATAATGTATCATCAGAGCACATCTTTTCATAAACAGGCCGAATGGCCTTCATTACTGCAGGTGCCATAGTATGTTTGCTAGTATCAAATGATTTGTATCTGTATATATGACACTTTGTAGGGTCACAGTAATCATGATTAGGATTTTCGCGTGTAGAATTGTAATGGTGGAATGTAGCTAAAATATAAAATATTTATGAGAGATATTAGTATGAACAAAACATACCCCAACAAGCAGCTTTCATTGATTCTAAATCATTCACGTGAGACCTAATAGCAGAACCATAATAAACAGTTAATTGATGAATTTTATCATCAGTTAAACGTCCACTTCGACCTCCAATTGGTTTATCATCTTCTAATTTATCACCTTTATGTTTTTTCTTGAGTGTTTCTAGAGCAGTGCGCATTCTATATTAAAAAAATAGATGTATTATCATAATAATAACTATATTACCGTTTTGAAAAATGATTAATACATTGAAGACGTTTAATAACAATATCTTCGTATGGTTGAGCATCACGAAGTGCACGTTCATTGTTAGCATCACCGTCACCGATGTATGTGGTGTATCGTAGAAGATATTTAGATTCTGATCGACGAAATACTTTTACAATCCCTAAGAGATACCAAATAGTGGCAAAGATCTTTTAGCATAACTTCTTCAAACCTGCAGCTTCCATTCCACCTGATGAACCTTTATGATTTGCTTCACAACCACTCTGTATATGTTCTTCTAAAAGTTGTTCATACATTTCAGGATTGTGTTCTCTAATTCCTAATAAGCCAGAACACGTGGTACAGTGTCGACTTAGACATTCAAAGTCTAATACTTTTGGAGGATCTGATGTTGAGCAAACAGTTGCTATTCCATGTAAACTAGAATGACCACGACGAGTGAGCCATGTTCCATCAACTGAAACTTTGATATTTGTAATTGCTTGTTGATCAGCAGATTCAGATGATTGTTTTCTTGCTTCTCTAGCTACAAATATAATTATACAAAATATCATATGATAAACAAATAAAAAAAAGTGAATTTTACCTGCTCTGCGAAGACTCTTATCTTTCACAACATCCAAAGCATCTGAGTATATTTTCTGATATTTTTTCCAGCTTTTAGTTTGAACTGGTGATAAAATATTCAACATACCTAAAACTGTAGTCATACCTGTTCGTTTCATTCCAACAACATTAGCTGCTACACATGCCATCATATTAAGTTCATCCATACGTAAAGTAGATGAATGAACCAATTCTGTTGAATTTTTAAAATGTGTTTCATATGAACACTTACATGAAAATGTGATATGGTATAAGAGACCACGACGTTGAGTAACTTTCTCAGACATTTTCCCAACACGACCACACGAAGGACAACGAAATTTATTAACTAAATCTAGTATCATGTTAATACTAACGATAATATTAACATTTGTGTATGGAATATCATATGATACAGATTCATCTTCATCTTCAATAGTGGTTTGTGTTGTTGCAGTTGATTTAGTAAGAAGCTGAGCACGAGATAATCTTAGTTTTTTTTCTATTGTTGTTGATACATGTTCAATCGAAGTTTGTACATTATTATCTATCGATTTTGCGTTTTTATAATTTTCCAATCGAAGATCTCGGTTTTTCAATCGTTTAGAAACATATCTTTTACCCATCTGAAATATAATTATCATTTAGTGATGGTCGGTCATTACGAGATGCACAAATAGAAGCAATTGAAACACTTCTTAAAAGTTGCTATCAAGATGAAAAAATTACAATGCCTACACGTATTCATCATATTTTATTTGAAAAAAAATTTGATGACATTTCAGCTCAACATCGTGCTACTACAGATAATGTTGCAGTAACTGATGTTCAACGACGTGGGGCATTTGTAAGTGAGATAAATTCTATTTTATCTAAAAAATCGAAGAAAACAAGCCATTTATTACCACCAGTTATACTTCAGCTGATGCGTCTTCGGTTTCCAAATGATCTTGATAAAGATAAACCTCTCAAAGACGCAATTGATGTGTCCATTGATGATTTTGTTCAATGAACAAAAAATATAAAGAAATGATGTTATGTATTTTTATTTATTTTTATTGCATCAAACAAGAAAAAATAAAAAATATATATATAAAAGATAAATATTTGTTTTTATTAGAAGCGATTATGACTCATGATGATAATTCTCTATTCTATTCGCCAGAAAAAGACCAATAGATGTATCAAGCATATCAAGTATGGTCAATAATAAAAGAGCAATGGACCAATATTTAACCTTGAAAATTAAATATTTGAAGAAAAGATGTCACTTGATACAAGAGTTTTATGCATGACATACGATGCCGCAATTTCACTTTTTTAGAACTGTGTGAGTCGATATGGTTACAACTATCACCAATGAAGAAGATAACATAATAAAACATCTTTAGAAATAACAAAAAAATTTTTTTTTGTCATATACGTTGCTAAAAAACTTGGTTTTTTAGAGACCTATCGGTATTTGGGGGGGGGGGGGGGGGGGTTCTGATTTTCATAGTATTTATATGTTACATTGTAATATGGCTTAATATCAAAAAATAAATAAATAAAATTTTTTGTTCCATAGGTCTCCAAAAAACCGGTTTTCCAAGGACTTTCGGACCTGGGGGGGTTCTGATTTTTATAGTATATATATATTACATTATAGTATAACTGAATATCAAAAAAAAAAAAAAAATTTTTTTAGCTCAGGAAAGGGGGGGGTCCCCTTAAATAATGAATTTTTTTTATCTTTATTTTTCTAGTCTAACGACTA